ATCATTAATTTATAGAAAAAAAAGACTGAACATGTTATAATTTTTAATTGGAGAATTTTACAATAACTTTTAGATGGAGAATGTATCCCAATGGAAGATGGATAAGACAGTGAGATCTTTATGAAGTTGATAAAGTTCAAAGGAAATGTGTGATTTGACCAGACAAGCAGTATCATGATACAGTGAACAAAAACACTCCATGATTAGTAAAATGACATAAAATTGTTTTTAGCATACAAGTTATTTAAAATCCAGTGATAATACATTTTCTAAAATTCTTGTTTAATTTCTTATTTTGAAATCATTGTACTTTTTTTCCTTTGGCATGATTTTCTTAAATTTGGAATATATAAAGATAATAAAAAGAAATACATTTTAAATATTTGATTTTAAACACAGCCTACTGTTTAAAGTTCTAGCTTTTTATGGAATTTTTATTTGTACTAATGAGCATGAAATAATTCCTAAAAGCATCTGAATCCTAAGTTAGATGATGTAACTAATGTGGGTCACTACAGTTTTAGCCTTGCTTTTTGCACACTGACTACCCATATTTAGTTTTACATTATCTTATGACATATGGGAAAGAAAGAAGATACTATAAAGAAACTTAAGAGATAAAATATGGGGGGACCAGCAGATGGTGTATTGTTTACGCCCCTGGACTCCCATGTAGTCGACTTGGGTTTGAGTCCTGGACCTAGTGACGTAAAACATGGATGCACGGACATGCATGCCAAAAATCCCAAGAGAAGAATAGAAGTGAAGGGATTTCAGCCTGACCCTCCCCCCTGGGGGGGATTTCTTGCTTTCTGTCTGTCTCTCGGGCAAGCACACACACCTTATGGCAAAAATCTCTGTCAAAAAAAACCCAAAAACATAAAATATGGACAGCTTTGATAAAATCAAACTCCCAAAAATGACCACAGTATTGGTAAAAAGAAATATACCAGTACAGATAGCATACTATGGTACTATTCTTATGATGAGTCATTAATTAAAACGGCACCATACATTTCTATTGCCTAAGGAAAAAATACAAGAGAATTTTTATATATCATTCGTAAAAGGAACCTGCTGGTTCCCTGAATTTAATGACACCCATTTTCTTTTTTTTTTTTTCAAATTTTTAATTTTCTTTTAAATTTCTTTCTTTCTTTATTATTATTACTATTTTAATTTTCTGTAGGGTATGTGTGCTCACCAGAGAGAGACAGAGAGAGAAAAAGAGAGGGAAAGTGAGACACCAAGCCACCAGGTCTAGGACTCAAACTGTGTTGAACCAAATTGAAGTTGAATCCAGTTAAATGTCTTCATTTTAAAAACAAAAATTTAGTTTTCCTAATTTATATTTAAATTGTATTAAAAATGTTTAAAATAGAGAAAGGTCTTACAGAGAAAACACAAATAACACTTAAAGATATAATTTCAGGGGAAATCAGTGTTAATATTTAAATGTACTTTACAACAAATTATATAAAAATAAATGAATAACAATGCAGTAATATTTATAATTATGTGCATAAAATGATGTTATACATCATCATTTTTAAAATACAGGTTTTTATTTAGTGCACTTTTACATCTTAGAGTAAATACCGTTTTCATTGTTGTTGCTGTTTTCTGTGGAGAAAGAATGGTTGAGAGAGAGGGAAAGATTTAAAGAGAGACAGATAAGTATTTTAGAAAGAAACAAGGAAAAAGATACAGATCAGATGGATACTAGTTCTTTACACAGTACTAGAGAAGTTGGGGTCCTGTGCACTTGGACCAGTTCCCTTCTTTTCCAGAAGGAAGCTGAGAGCAGGGATACTTTGTTTGCTTAATCTGTGCTCAGCAGAGAGGAAGATCTATGGTATCTATCAGACCAAGTCTACATTACTTCTTTCTCCCAGAAGTGGACTATGCCAAACAAGTCAGAGCTCCAAGACTGGCTAGTCAGATGCGAGTTCTTTGACATCTCTGGAGAAGCTTGGGCACTGAATACACCGATCAACTCTCCCATCCCAAGGAAATGCTGAGAGCTGAGATGATGATGATTTTGTCTGCTTTCTCTCCACTGAGAAATAGGAAAGATCTATGGTATCTACCAGTCTAAGTCCCATCTTCATTCTCCTATAGGTACATCTAGACTGTGATAGACCTATGAGAACTCTAAAATTAGTTAGATAATTGCAAGTGGGTTTTTTTTTCTTGTTGTTGTTGTTTGTTTTTTTGTTTTTGTTTTTTTTTTTTATAAAAGTTGAGAGTCAGACATACAAGTCTACTTTTTCTTCTCAGTGGGAAGCTAAGGTCTAGAGTTTCTTGTTTGTTTACTTTATGTTGAGCAGAGGGAAGACTTATGGTATCTACCAGTTTAAGCCACCCTTTCCCTTCTCCTCAGAAAACCCCACTCCAGTGGACCAGTCTGAACTCTAGTACTGGCAAGACAGAAGTCATCCTCTAGGATCTCAGAGTTGTCTTTTTGATTGTATGGCACTGCATGAGAGGCAAGGACTCCACTGAGAGCATGTCCTTAATCTACCTACCAACTTTGATTATTTCGATTTTGTATTTTTTTCTGGGTGTAGGAGCCTTTCAAGTAGCTTCAGCATTTCTTTCAAAGGCAATTTGTTTGTGAATTGTTGAATATGGTGTGTTTAGGAGCAAGAGGGTGCACAGCTTCCTATTCTGCAATCTTGTTATCACTCTGTAGAAGAATCTTAATATTTTTTAACTCTTCTACTTGATGAGACAGTTGACTTTTTATGTTTAGAACATTTATTCTGGACCGCATATATGGACCAAATTTGAATAAGTGTTTAATTTTGAGAGCTTTTTTGATAGTGTTTTGGTTTCCTTTGGTCTTTTGGTACTGAACAGATTCCAGTTCAATTGTTACTGGTAACACCTGGGGGTAAAAGGCCCTTCCTAAACCACTTTATGTTATTAGATCACTAAATTTTGGGCCAGAAGATGTGAGGAGTAGAAGCCTCCAGGCTTAGGTCTTCTTACATCATTTGGTGGAAGGTTGAAAAATATCAGGCTTTGAACATGGTATGTCTGTGACTACTTTAGACTCCACTCTACTGTCCAAGTTGTGCAGCAGAATTGTGTCAGCCAGCTTGGACTTTACTGCTGCCTCTGAAGGCACACCAGTCAGCTAGTTACCTGGTTATTGAATGAGAAGTAGGTCGGCCACCCAGTGCTATGATGTTGCCAAAGGGGGTAAAATGGATAGCTCACCAGTGTACCAAGTACGTTCTGAGTGTGCCTGCCAAGTCTTTGAAATTGCCACTGTTGGTAAATCAGCAAATATGTGTTCTGATATTAGAGAAAGGCTGTATCATCTCACTGAATCTCTTGAGCTTTTACCTGCTCAGTAATTTGACCAGAAGGTGGAAAGTTTTCTTTCTTTTTTTTTTTTTCTGTTTTGTTTTTCTCTATGCCTATTAGAGGTTCTGAGTTATGAATCTGTTCAACACCAATTGGCATTCATCAGAAAGATAAAAATAAAATTCAAAGAATTATCCTGTCTTTGTTTTTAAGACTAAAGGACACTAGTCAATCTCTCTTTTTCTGCCTAGCTTTTAAAGTCTTTTTGCTGCTGTCTATTGATCTGTTTCTCTAGCATTACATTGTATTTAGAGAGAAGAGTTAGGGAAAACTAAGTATATATCACTATATTCAAGAACACAAATTGGCAGCAAATATTGAATACATGTTCTTTGAAAATATAATCAAGTGTAAACACTTTTAGAATAATACCTACATCATTCTAAAAAAGAATTGTCATCAAGTTAACCATTCTTTATTACATAAAGAATTAATCTGTGACTTATATGAGATAATATTGTTGAAAGACACAAATAATGTTCTTCTAGTCTGACAAGCTAGTGAGAAGAGGACGTTAGGGGGGAAAAATAATAAACTATGTCACAGGGAAGTATATGCTAAGTTCCTTAGGAAAAAAATTAAAATAGAGACCAGCAGAAGGCATAATGGTTACATCGCTGGACTCCCAAATGGCCAACCACAGCTTGAGTTCCGGACTCAGAGACTTAAAACTCATGCTGCGTGAGTGTGTGTGTGTGTGTGTGTGTGTGTGTGTGTCAGAGAGAGAGAGAGAGAGCCCAAAATTCTAAGAGAAAAATGGAAGACAAGGGATTGTGATGTGGTCATCACCCCTGGGGGGGGTACCTCTTGCTTTCTTTCTCTCTCTCTGTCTCTCTGGTGAGCACATGCACACTATAGAAAAGCAGACAACAAATTCTCTAAAATACATAAATAATACAAGACCTTTTAAAAAGGTTTCAGCCCAGCTTTAGTAGCACAGGCTGTAGTGCACTGACCTTCAGTGGAAGCCACGTGAGTGATCATGGGTTTGGATTCCCATTCGACCTGAAAACATACTATATCTTTATATGCCCAAGATCCTGATAAGCGGAGGGCTAAAGGACTGGGAAAAGGGGATCACAACATGACAAGACCCTGTAGTGGATGCCTCTCTCTCTCTGTCTTCCTCTCTCTCTGTCTTCCTCTCTCTCATGCACACATACATTCTGTATTATGAATAAACTTTAGTAAATGTTTCTTAAGTAATGTTACAAAGTAATTTATCATCAAAGTTAAAAAGAAAAGCTATTATTAATAATATCTGTGATAATTTAACATGTATAAATTGGAACTATCCCTTCAATTCAAGACACATGGTTGTTTTACTTTTAAGAATTTTTAAAAAAATCATTTATTGTGGAAATGTTCATAAAATATATTTAGAGTACAATACAATGAGTTGATTTTGCCCATAATCCATATTTATTAGTTATCAATTTATGGTCAATTTTCATTTTATATATGCTCCTGTCGTCTTTCCCATTAATATTTAAGAATAAATTCCAGGCCTTTTCTTGAGTCATTTTTTGATCAAAGCATTAGTTACTTTTATCCTCTTCATTTCTCTTTCTCTCTACCACATCCTCTCCTAACCATCCGTATGTTGTTTTTTATTTTGCTTATAGGTCTGCAGGTCTGATGGTTCAACTCTGCCAGAGACAGATCTTTAATGCATAGCACAGCATAGAGAGCATATCAGAAGAAGAAGCCAAACTATCTGTGACTCCCAGTCTTGACTTCTTTTCTGGACTGACATTTCCATGACTGTGGCTTCACAATGTGTGTTTCTGAAGTACTGTCATACAAGAGAATTACACTCCTGCTACATTGGCTTGGGGTTTTTCTATCTTCTTCTGGACATACCCAAGGTGAACATCCCCAGTATCATAGTCCTTCAGAAGTAGTGATTCCCTTGAGAATAACTAACCATGGTAGAACCATGAAGCCTCTAGGCTGGATCTCTTATAGCCTGCATTTTGGGGGCCAGAGACACATTATCCACATAAAGGCCAAAAAGCTTTTGTTGTCCAGACACCTCCCCCTGTTCACCTACACAGACCAAGGTGCCCTCCTTCAGGACTATCCTTTTGTCCCAGATGGCTGCTACTATCATGGTTATGTGGAGGGGGACCCAGAATCCTTGGTTTCACTCAGCACCTGTTCTGGGGGTTTTCGAGGGATATTTCAGATAAGTGGCATTTGTTATGAAATCCAGCCCATGATGTTTTCTTCCACATTTGAACATCTTGTATATAAGCTGGAGAGTGAGAAGACACAAGTTACAACTATGAGATCTGACTTTATTCAAGATAAAATAGGATTTAAAGAGAGTGATCATTTGACCCTGAAGCAAAGTAGTTATGAAGGCTGGTGGACCCATTTGAGGATTGTTGAAATTATGGTGGTGATTGATTATTTTCTATATATTCGTTATGAAAAGAATGATTCACAAGTGATGGAAGATCTATATAGTATTGCAAATATAGTGGATTCCATTTATGATGTAATGGGTGTTAAGTTGTTTTTGATTGGTTTGGAAATCTGGACTTACCACAACCCATTCATTGTAGAAGATGGAAGAAGATCTCCATACGTTTTTTGCCAGTGGAAGAAGGATAATATATTCCCCCGGATAAAACATGATACCACACATCTTTTCACAAATAAGCCATTAGGTGGATTAAGTGGCATAGGTATACTTAAAGGAATGTGTTATGTAGATACTAGTTGTGCAATTGTTACTTTTTTAAACAAAACATTGGGCATTTTTGCAATTGCAGTGGCTCATTATGTAGGACATAATTTGGGTATGACCCATGATCGTGGTACATGTAAATGTGAAAAGTCAAAATGCATAATGCATGAAGACAATCCACCAGTAACTAAATTTAGCAATTGCAGTTATGATTATTTTTGGTCCTACATTGTAGGAAGGACATCATGCTTGCTCGAAACTGTACACACAAAAGACATTTTTAATGTGACTCGCTGTGGAAATGGAATTATTGAAGAAGAAGAAGAATGTGACTGTGGGCCTTTGAAGCGTTGTGCTAAAGATCCTTGTTGTCTGCCAAACTGTGTTTTGACTTATGGAGCTAACTGTTCTTCTGGGCTTTGTTGCAAAAACTGTAACTTCTTACCACCTGGGGAACTGTGTAGAAAGGAGGTCAATATGTGTGACCTTCCAGAGTGGTGTAATGGAACCTCCTATGCCTGCCCAGATGATGTATATGTGGAAAATGGAATTCCCTGTAATGACAGCGCCTACTGCTATGAAAAAAGATGTATTAACCGCAATGATCAGTGTAGGCAGATTTTTGGTGACGGGGCAAAGGGTGCAAAACAGACTTGCTACAGAAAAATCAATACTCAAGGTTCCCGTGTTGGTAACTGTGGTATCCGTGGTGCTTCTTACATAAAATGTAGTATGTCAGATGTCCTGTGTGGGAGAATTCAGTGTGAGAATGTGACAGAAATCCCCACTTTGATTGATCACTCGACTGTACATTGGGCTCAGTTCAATAATATAACTTGTTGGAGTACTGATTACCATCCCGGGATGACCATACCTGATATTGGTGAAGTGAAAGATGGCACAGAGTGTGGTCCAGATCATGTCTGCATCCATAGGCAGTGTGTCCATATAGCCATCTTGGATAGCAACTGTTCACCTGCATTCTGTAATATGCGTGGCATCTGCAACAATAAACATAATTGCCACTGCAACTATCTGTGGGAACCTCCCAACTGCCAAATAAAAGGGTATGGAGGCAGTCTTGACAGCGGCCCAGCCCCAAGGATAAATAAGGAGAACAATGCTTCGTACCTGATATTAACATTGCTTATTATTTTGTTTATTTTATTGTGTTGTCTTCTTATGCTTTGCAAGAAAAAAAAAGATGTGAAAGAACAAAATGTTCAGACTCAATCTGCAAAAGGACAGAAGAATATTCAGAAACAACCTGGCTCATTACTTTCTCAAAGTGAACAGGGAAAAAAAAATAATCAGGACAAATTTCAAAATTTGAATCCCAAAAAAAGTATCAAATAAAAAAATAGTTCTTAGTATGTTTTTACTTACTCTTCATTATTTAAATAATTTTTAGATTAACTGAAATTTTCCTCTTTATATTTTTTTTTCTTTTTTTTTTTTTGGAGAGGTTTTTGCTATAGGGCGCTCGTGCTCACCAGAAAGACAGAGAGAGACCGAGAGACAGAAAGTGAGAAATCACCCCACACACACACACCAGGGGGGATGGCCATGCTGCAATCCCTTTTCCTCCATTCTTCTCTCAGGATCTTGGGCACGCACGCACACACACGTGCCACTGGGTCCAGAACTCGAACCGTGGTCGACTACATTGGAGTCCTGCAAACCATTACGTTAACTGCTGGTCCCTCCTCTTTATATTTCTTTATTTTCCAAGAAAAAGCACAGCCCATGGTTGTGTATCAATTTTTAAGTTGTTGCCTTTAAGCTCTAGAATCCCTTTCCCTATTGTACTTTGCTTAATAGAGACCACATTTCTGCTGTATAAGCCCTTTCCCTATAAGGTTCTGCAATAGGGAGAATAGGAAGAAAATCTGAAATTTGAGATATCTATTCTCTTCATGTTTGTATTTCCTGATTTTACTGGTTAGTCAGTTTTCAATATATACATGGAAATCAACTCTCTCTCTCTCTCTCTCTCTCTCTGTGTGTGTGTGTGTGTGTGTGTACTTATTTATATATAATTTAAAGATATATTTTTGCTATAGGGCATGTATGCTTGCTGGAGAGACAGACAGACAGAAAGCAACAAATCACCCCGCAGCAGGGATTGCCACGCTGAAATCCCTTCTCTTCCATTTTCCTCCTGGGATTTTGGACATGCAGACACATGAGTCCAGCATGTTTAAGGTTGCGGGGTTTGGGACTTGAACCACAGTCCACTATGTGAGAGTCCAGCAGTGTAACTTTTTTGCAATCTGCTGGTCCTGTAATTATTACTTTAAATTTACTTCAGACCAAACTCATTGTTGACCTAAGAGATATCAGTATAACTGGTGTGTTACCTTAGAGTTCTGGCTCTCACCTTTTTTATTTATTTATTTATTTTTTAATGGAATGGGCTGTTTAGTGTCCTAAAATATTTACATTATGTTTTCCTTTTATGCTCTCACCTCTTTTGAGCTCTTTACGAGTATCCCAAATGTCTAACATCAGTTTAGTAATAACTACTGTTAAGAGTTCTGAGTCTCAGATCCATGGGGCAGTCCTTCAGTCTTTCAGGTTCTAGTAACTCCAACCTTTTTAAAATTTACTTCTTAGTTCCAGGAATAAAATCACTTTTTTATATGAATAGTTAATTATTCATAATGAGTAACCAATTAGAACCACGTGTCTCTGTTTACAAATTTATATTCTTCAACAGCTGTTTACCCACTTCTTTAATTTTATCCTTCCGAAATTACTGATGTAATTTCTATTTTTCTGACTAAAATCTGACTGTTACAGTACTGATCTTGGTGTAATTAAAAATTCAGCAATGAGAAGAAAATCATACATTTTAAATTATTTTTAGTTTTTAGTTTTTTCTTACCAATGGCCTTCACTATTTTGAAGAAAAATAGTTAAGCTTATAGACAGTTTACTTCAAAATAAGGTAATATAAAAAATAACAGTTCTCTTGTAACTTCTGTGTTCCTTTGGTTATAAAATGAGATAAATAAGATACTTATTATTTTGGGTGGACTGTATTAAGTTTGGCAAGTAAAGTGACTTTTCTAGGGGTGAGGGGAGGACAGAGTGAGAAAGCTATATAATGACAAATAAAATTTTTTCTATTGTATTTTAAATGCATGAGAGAATTGTAAAAAAAAATATGAAGATTTAAAAGGTCTCAAAATTTCAGAGAAGGGGAAACAGTTCTGAATCATCAGCATTATTTCCCCAGAAACACTTCATGGTTCTGAATAGAAATTAAGGATCAGGCTTGGCCACCCAGGTTTATCCCCACAAGATAGAATACTTCTATTGAAGAAAGAGAAAACTGAAAACATCTTAGTGCCTAGACAAGACACGATTGATAAATTTGAATTTTATTAGCATCAAATCCAAAATTCAGTTTCCTCATACATTTGCTGAGTATAGGTTCTGTGTGGGAGGCTGAGGAGAAAGGGTGAAACTTCTCCAGGCAGAAATATCTATAATACTTTTGTACTTAGGAAGCAACGACCTCATGGAAGAGAGTTTCCCTCATGTACTACTTTTCATTGCAACATTTATCTGTTTTTGAATAAGACTGAGATATAGGTTACAGAACCAAGGGCTGAAGTTTTGAACATCAGAATTCAATAATCTATTGTCTGTCAAAGCTGAGAAAACAGAAACACTTGAGCTTACCATACAAATTCTACAGGGTATACAAGTCTTACTAAAATTAAATTCAATCCCAATTCTATTGAAGCTATCAGTCACTCAAACTATCTCCCAAACAGACCAAAGATGGGAAGTTAAGAAGAAGATGAAACTACTCAACTCTTTTTTGTGTGTGTGTGTGTTTTAATGTTTTAGTGAAGAAACGAAATATTTCCATATCAGAAGTTTATTTACTAAACATAGTAATAATTGTATTTAAATATAAGTAGAATCATTTATAATCCAGTATGCATTTAAAATTTTTAATTAAAAATGTTATATATTTAATCACAATACCTCACTTAGCTTGTAAAGTGAATTTACCCAATATGACTACACCTCCCACCAGTTCAGGTGAGGATGCTATACACATTATCATTAACAGACAACAAACCATGTGTCCCATAAATACTTTGTCTCTCTGTTTCACTCCTTAATTTCATTCCTCACATTCTCACCCTACTCCCACCCTCTTCTCTTACTGTCTCTAGTGTCCATAACCATTTTCCATGCTCAATATCCTCTAACTGTTCAGCTTCCACCATAAAGTGTGGAGAGTTAGTATACAGCAAGTGAGACATTCAATGTCTCCCATAGCCTGACTGGCTTCATTCAACAGTAAATCTTCCATATTTTTCCACTATCAAATGCCAGAATCTTTTTTTTCATGGCTGAGTAGTATTCCATAGAGTATATGTGCCATAATTTTTCTATACATTCATGTCTTTGTGTCTTTGTGGACATTTGGGTTGGTTCCATGTCTTAGAAATTGTGAATAATGCTTCAATAAACACACATGTGCAAGCACTTTTCCAACTGAGCATTCTCCTATCCTTTGGGTAGATACCTAGCAGTGGAACTGCTGGATCATATTGTAATTCTATCTGTAGATCTTTGAGGAACCTCCCTATTCTCCACAGTGGTGGACCAATTTAAATTCCCATCAACAGTGAAGGAGAGTTCTCCTTTCACCATGATGTTCCCAGCACTTACTGTTTTCTGTTTTTTAAATCTTTTCCATTCTAACTGGGGTTAGATGGTATATCTCATTGTGGTTTTTGATCTGTATCTTCCTTATGATGAGGGAGGTTGAGCATTTTATTCATATGCTTTTTGGCTGTTCATATGTCTTCCTTAAAGAGTGTTCAGATCATTCTCCCATCTTTTAATTGAGTTGATCATTTTTTTTGGGGGGAAGAGGTAAGCCGCTTCACTTCCTTGTATATTCTGGTTACCAGTCCCTTATCTGAGGCAGAGTTTACAAAAATAGTCTCCCATTCTGACGGTTGTCGATTCATACTAATTACTGTGTCCTTTGCTGTGCACAAACTTCTTAATTTGTTGTAATCCCATTTATCTACTTTTGGGATCATTTTGGAGGTCTTATTTTAAAAGTCTTTGCTTAACCCAATGTCTCCCAGGGTTTCCCCAGTGTTTTTCATCAGAGATGAAAGATGCTTTTCATCTTTGATTCACTTTGAGCTGATTTTTGTTAATGATGGAAATACGGGTTCAGGTTCATCTTTCTGCAGGTGAGTACTCAGTTTTTATGCACAATTTGATAAAGAGATTTTCTTTTTTCCACTGGATTGACTGGAACCCTTTGTGAAAAATCAGTTGACTCTGTTTTGGGTTTATTTCTGGGGTCTACATTTCCATTGGTCCACATGTCTGTTTTTGTACCAATACCAAGCTGTTTTGATTATACCAGCTGTGTAATATATTTTGGAGTCAGGGAGTGAGATGCCTCCTCTCCACTCTTTTTGTGCAGGATTGCTTTGGCAATGTACAAACTTTAAAAATTCAAGACAAATTCTATGATTGTCTTTTCTAAATCTGTAAAGAATGTCTCTGGTATTTTGATTGGGGTTGCATTAAATAAGTAGATTGGGGTAGAATATTCATTTTGATTATATTAATTCTTCCAACTCAGGAACATGGAATGTACTTTCACTTTTTCATGTCATTTTCAATTATCTTTTTAGATTTTCATAATTTTCCTTGTAGAGGTCTTTGACTTCTTTGGTTAGATTTATTCCTAGGTATCTTATACTTTTTCTGGCTATGGTAGATAGAATTCTTTCTTCAGTTATACCTCAGTATGTTTGTTGTTAGTATACAGAAATGCTATAAATTTTTGTATGTTAATTTTGTATTCTGCCACTTTATTGTATTCATTACTTCAAAAAGGTTTTATGGCCACACTTGGGTCTTCTATGTATACAATCATATTATCTGCAAACAGAGATAATTTCACCTCTCTTTCCCCATTTGAATGCCTTTTATATTATTCTTTTTTCTGATTGCATTGGCTAGAACTTACAGCACATTATTGAAAAGGATTGAAGAAAGTGGGCAGCCTTGTTTTGTACTGGTTTTTCAGCTTTTCCCCATTCAGTATGATGTCAGCTATGAGTTTTTAATAGATGGCTTATAGTGTGTTGAGAAATGTCTCTTTTATGCTGATTTTAGAGAGTCTTGATCATGAAGGTATGTTGTGTTTTATCAAATGCTTTTTCTCCATCAATTTTTATAATCATATGGTTTTTACCTTTCTTTCTGTTAATACAGTGTATTACATTTATGGTTTTGCACATGTTGAACCACCCTTGCATCCCTGGAATAAAGCC